GAGGTCCCATTTCCCCGGTTTCGGGCCATTTTGAAGAGTTGTTTCTTTATCACTGCTCCATTGACTACCTCTACCCTTATTTCCAATGAGCTGACTTTTCATCGTAAATTCTGCCTTCAAGTTTCAACGAAATCTAAGGTGTGCTTTCAGGTCTAAGAGCATCAAGTTCATTGGAAACTGAACACCTACACCTCTTCTGTGCAGATCTCATCAGTCTCCGAAACCTTCTTTGAATTCGAAAGTGGAAGGAGAACAGATTAGGGCAAAATATCGCTTTATATGTACATCCTCAAAAGTCATAGGTTCGATCCCCTGCGAAAAAACCTACTGTGCACAAATGGTGACGATACCGTCATCACGCCCAGGTCTAAAGAAAGGTTATGTTAGGTTAACTTTTTGTCACAAAATCTGAACAGCGAAAGGGTAATATCCAGTACTAAGATCAGTAAGAGGGGTCACCATGGTGACTAATTAGCACCGTAGATATCACCGATACTGAAAAGATAGCGGTGAACGGTGGACGACACAAACAGAAAAAATGATAGCAACTCCTGATGGAAACGGCGGAACCCGTGAATGCGCAAGAAACATGCTCGCTAGAAAGAGTCAAGGTTTTATAAAAAATATTACCAGCCACAGTTGATCCGAAGAACATAACGATGGGCATCTGCCATCGAGTTTCATACAGAGCGAACCAATTAAAGCGGAACGCGGTCATCCACCAAATCAGCTGAAAGTTTTCATTAATTGCCTTCTTCTCAGAGGCTCCATTTCCTCCAGTAAATCTGAGTGAGACTAATGAATTCGCGTACCTGCATAATTGCAAAAGGCACTAAGAATGCTATGTACTTTCTGTGCTTGATAAGGACGCGATCAAAGAAGTCAGCATCTTCAGGTACTGTCTTGGTTACGGTATCATTGAGTTGTTGTCCTTAAGCAAGAGTTCATTAAAGCGAGTAGGAGCCTTTGACAGCAAAACTCACCTTCCCAAAGGTAGCGACGCCATGATAGGCAGGGCTTACGCATTGTGGTGAGGCTTTTGAGGAAGCGGTGAGTTAAATACCGCGTCTCTTTTGAATTGCTGTCCGAACAACACATAGATCCGAGCTGACATCCGTCGCTGGCGGAGACGATTTGTTTATTTGCGATGGACGAAATCCTACGCGTTTTGGGCGATTGTTGATGATAGCTAACCTATCAAGGCTTCCGCCACTTTTTCTTCATAGTGGGAAATCTTTGCTCGTTTTTCAAACTGTTCACTGTTTGACAATTCCGGGACCTCATACATCGGAGAATTCGTGTGAGAAATGCTAGCGCACCTGTTAGCCCCAGGAAGATGCTCTCCAACTGTACGCAGAAATCTCTTTCGAAGAGTAACTTCAGTCTTTTCCTTTAATAAGTAGTTGATCGAATGACTGAATGTTCTACTCTTCGTATGCTATTCTGTAACGCAACGTTATCGCTAGCCAAAGTCTGAATCTGCCCTTGATATGGCCCTTTAACACTTGGACTCCCAATCGTGTAGGGTTGCCACAAATTACGGTAACAAGATAAAGTGATCACAGAAAATCTTTACAGCATGTAAATGACAATCGCAAACAACTATATTAGCTTCAAGCAAGAAGCAGAAACAGGGTATTCCGTAAGCAGTATTTGTCGTTGACAAAGAGCGAAGTATTCCTTGCAAGCTCATTAATGCAGCGCGTATGGTAGCAACCGGAAATGATCTCAGCGGCACTTCGCAATTGAGCCCTTTTTTTTTTGTCCCCTGCTGCTCGTCGTCTCTTCTTGGAAGGTTTCTGGTGCTTTCTCGCCCATTGACTATATATCTCAGCTCAGAAATTTTTCAGAACATTTCGTGCAGCTGCTCTTCGTGTTACCGAGTTAAAGCAAGAGATTACGATAAAATTGTGTATTATTCAGGTGAGAAGTACACAGCATCCATTCCAAAGCATTCGTCAGGGCGAAAGAAGCGAATGTTGCTTTTTTGTGCTAAATTTGCTACAAGCCACTACAAGGCTTGTCATTGCCCTTTCTTCTGAGCTCCGCCACGGCCTGTGCTCCGCCCCCAGCAGCAGCGCCCTTCGATTGCCAATGTGACGAGATATTCCACTTCCAGTGTATCCTATAACTTTTCATGGGATGCGTGATCAATCAAAGCATGATGCTTGCTGAAATGATAGAGGCTATCAGCATAACATGTGCAAACGACCTCCTAATTGGTTGCTAGCTCGTCCATTATCGGAGGTCAACGGGCAAAGAAAGGGGTCCCATTTTGCGCGCTTCTGACGGATTTCTTTGCTTTTTTCGCCACTGGGGCATTATTCAGCATCTCCACTTCCACTATGAACCCAGTCCAAACTTATCGTAATCCCTCGCTTTAATCTGTCCCCACCCTGTACAAATGTAGTATTAGCATAGTGTGACGCCTACTTTACCCCAGTCACATGTGTTCAGTTTGTCTGCACAACCTCGACGAATAGCTTAATTTGCTTGCTTCAGTGCCAATTCGACACTGTGTACTCACTGCTCTTCGTTCTTTCTGCAGCGCAACCATTATTTTTTTTTCAGAATTCGCTGAAGAGCATGATATCCTCTGAAGTCACTACGACGTCATCTGCCTGCAAAATTCCCTATGCAAGAATGGATCAACATTTCTGAAGAAGTTTCGGGATATTCTTCTTTATCATTTTACGCATGCACGATCATTACTTAATACGCGGTCATGTGGATATGCGACGATGTATCATTTTTGACATACTAAGTTTGCAGTAAGGTGTATTTTGCTACCGGTCAGACAAATAAATATTTTTCCTCGAGTTATGCGTGATTTGGCTATCAACAATGGTGTAATAACCTTCATTAACTATTCGAATGTTTGTTTGAGCTCACTAGACTCTATCGCTTCTCAAAAACCATGAGAATATCGTTTCCAGAATGGTTTCGTTCGTTTTGGTGGAAGCAGAGTCTCAAGATGTTCTCATGAATCTCATTCAATACCTGGTGAGCACATCGTTTCAAACTCCTCAGTAAATTTCAGAAAGACTTAACTTTCTTCAGACTGGAAACTCTTTGAAGTTCACTGTGGCTACAGACATTCGCCGGCTATTTGCACGTACTTATCTGGATGTCGACGGCAACTGCGCCGGTGATGTCTCGTCCTCGAGCGTTGATGCGGGTCTCCATCACAGGTCAGTCCTGCGTGCCAAGTTTCGTTTGCTTTTCTCACTTCAACGAAATTGCCTATGCAGATCTGATCTCAACATCTCATCCGCTGTTCCATCTCAATTCAATGGTGTTATGCCGAATTTGTTTGGTATGATGGCGAAAACCGAGCCCGAGTCACAATTTGGCCGCTGGCTGTCGCAGAGTACATCCTCTCAAGAGGTGAGTGATCAGGTTGCATTCAAAACCTCTAGAAATTGGATTGTGTTCCTGTTTAGCTCTTCTTCAGAATCTCAGGTATTCTCAGTAGTGTTGCGTTCTGTTCTTCTTACCCAGCTCTCTCTTTATCCTTCTCAAAAACTTCTTACATTCTTGACTTTTGTTGACTCCAAGTTAACTGCTGAGTTCGCCCGGTTAGCGAGCTCCTTTAGAAGCTCGTTCCTCCATTACCCAGGGGTGAGCTAAAAACGAAAACGACTTTGTGGGTTGTTTCAGTGTTGGGAACAACAGAATACGTCGAAATATAGAGGAACAGTCTGCTTTCTGATCACAAATACTTGTATGGCTTTGCATCATCATTCCATTTTCAGCGATATCATTTCTTCCTTTCTCTGCTACGTCATCCTCATTAATAGAATTCTTAATTACAATTAGTCACAAGCCTCCATTCCGTGTAGGTACTATCTAGAGTGGAAGCACATTGAGTGCTTGGGCTATGTAGGCAAAATAGTGGCATATTGCCCTTGTCTCTCGTTGAGCTGGCTCATAAGAGAGAGGGAGAGAGCGAAGGAACAGTCGGAACGCAGACATCAGCACATGCGTCAATCCATTCGTTCAAGACCGTCGGGAGAGTCATGGCTGCATTAGGCCAGAATGCCCTTGAGAGCCTAATAACCTGCTCCACTATTCCCTGAGTTCTTTGCCTACGCACCTCTGAGGCACGAAAGCCGTTTCTTCGCACAGCGTTTTCGGTTACAGACCTGTCGATCTCACTCCCAGAGGAAAGTGGTCCAATTCACTTCGTGGTATTTGCCTCTGTGTAAGAGTGGTGTTGTGATTAATGTAGGGAAGTTTCACGAAAGACAGGCACAGAGAGCTTCTAATAATGCAGCTAATGTGCGAAATCTTTGAAGTAGCTCCGGAATCCTCTTGATTCTTTTCTGGAACGTTACGAAAGGAGAAAAGTAGCTGGAGTCGGTTGTACCCTTCAAAATGCGCCACGTATTATTCGTCCGTTTAGAATTGCGTAGATAAATATGCATTCAATCTATACATTCATAGTACGTGATGATTCCCGAACGCTGGTTACTCATGTCACTACTTTTTTGGGTTTCCCAGATCAGTCCTGTACCACGGAACTAGCCATAAAGACTTAGTTGATTGGGTGGAATGGGTGAGATCCGATTCACTGTCTACTTCTATCTGAGGCAGCGCCTTTCTCCACTACACTCGCAAAATAGGACTGAACAAGTCTCATATGACTCCTGTCCTGCTAGTGGTTGAACAGAATTGATCATCATACGAATTGATCATAATGCTGAGTTGTGGGCAAAACTTCCGCCCCAGCCTGGGATTCGTACCCGGATCTCTTGCTTTCCGGGCAATTGTGCTATCAGTTACACCACCATTTCACTCCAACTCAGCTTCAATGGTAAGTTACCATAGCTTATTCATAGTAAATCCGATAATGTAATGCTAATCGATAGCTGATCAAAAGTCTAGTAATAAGTTAGAATCATATCCCGGTTAATTACAACCAGTTCGCATTTAAAAGCTGCTACATAAAACCTTATTCGACTGAATTGCATCTCTTAATATTGTGCTGTCCCGGAGCCTCATCAGCACCTAAATATTGTATAACACAGAGAGGCACCAAAATTTTATTTCAAAAGAATTCCAAAAGTTCAGAAAGTTCAAAAATTCCAAAAACTCAAAAGTTTCAAAAGAGCAAAAAGCTATTTGAAAAAGAATCCTTTTGAAATCCTCCGCGATATTTCGGTGTTTAACACCTTCTTCAGGCATGTTTGCCAAAAGAAATCTATTTCTCTTCACTCCAAAGGCGCGGCTCCCGTAAGGGCAGCTTTACACTTGGCAGTGGCAAACACATGCCTGAAGAAGGTGTTAAACACCGAAATATCGCGGAGGATTTCAAAAGGATTCTTTTTCAAATAGCTTTTTTGCTTTTGAAACTTTCGAGTTTTTGGAATTTTCGAACTTTCTGAACTTTTGGAATTCTTTTGAAATAAAATTTTGGTGCCTCTCTGTGTTATACAATATTTAGGTGCATATTAGCCTATGCCGTCGGAAGTGCTATGTGATACGTCATCGTACTTGGGAACGTATCCATCAGTTAGCACGAATTCGCTCGAATCGCGAGCTCATCAAATTTTTGCCTCCGATGCTAATCAGCAGCGTGGTCACAAACGCTCATGGCATGGTCACCACACCAGTAATTCGGTTGGTGCTTTTTTATTTTTTCTGTGTATCACACTCAACCCACATAAACCTTTGTTTTAGCATGTTCCGCAGAACCCGATTCTTATCAACCCAAAAGCAGAAGAACCCGAGAAAAAAGAGAAATTGCGTGAAGTTGCCTGTCAGGTGAGCGTTTGATTATAACACATTTACGACGAGCGCGAATCTCAAAAACTTCCCCCACGCCGGGCACTTTTTTGGCCGCTTTACTCGTGGCAGCTCATGTGGGTTGCTACTGACCCCAGAAAACACGCAATGTATGGACGACGACGGACTCAACCAGAGTCTCTACCTTATTACGGAGAGTCACGGAGAATTGAAAGAATCTGCAGTGGATTCGGAGTTAACGATGGCGATGAAGGATAGGATGACACACCAGAAGAACATGTTTGATGAGGACTGTTGGTCATCTAATGTGATGAAGCCTTCTTTGTTCGTACTTGAAGAAACTACTGCATAATGCAGGAGTCGATGACACTATCTCCAACAAACCTATGCATTGATTTCTTTCGCCTTTTTCTGAAGCAAGTTGGTTGCTTTCATTGTGCGAGAAACCCACCGTTGTGAGCTCAAGAACTCAGCGAAATTCAGGGAAACATATAGGAACGGAGTCATGCAATTTTTTAGGTAGTGCTCTTGTTGCATATGGGACTGGTTTAGATGCCGACACTACACCATTAGTGGTCAGCAATGAGATTGTAAGGCGGTAACTTTTGCTCGTGATCATGCTAAGGGACAGGTGGGAACCTTTCTTGTCCAAGCTGCATTTCTCCAGCAACGAGCGAGCTCCACAAAATTGAAGCCAGTTCCAAGAGGTAGCGATGTGACTTGTTGTTGGAGAGGATGCGACTTTTTATGAGCCAGTTGTTTTTTTCAAGGGCGTTCGAAGGTCCAGCAGTATATTCTTAATAAGAAGCGCAAGTTGAAGTTAGATTATTCAGTATGCATAAAGACTTCAAAGTATGCATAAAGGCGGTTATCCGTTAAGAATTGAGGCTTATTCCGGGAAAAAAGAAAGGAGTTGTGGCAGAAAACGCAGTCATGCATTTGATGGGCGTTTTGTTGGATTCTGGCCGAAGACTGTGACGATTGGCACTCATCAGTTGACCTTAATCGGAAGCTGTAAGAAACGGATCTTTCAAAGAACCCCCTTCCACAGCACAGGAAAAATTTCCAAAGAAGAAAGTGTGCCAGAGCAAGAGCGAAGGCGTACATTCAGAAGATGGGATCACCATCATACAGTGACGTGAAAGATCTATGACGTGAAAGATCTATGTTTTGCATGTCAAAGAGTCGTGGAGAGGAACAACCCAAGAGAGGTTTTTTGAAATGGGCAAGGACTACAGTATGTGTATGCTGCTTGGTGATTCGTTAGATCACGCAGACTCTTACTACCCTTTGTCTTGCAGATGGTACTTGTTCATCTTTTCCCATCCAGTTTTGCCTTCTTTAGTCAACGCATGGGAATTGTACTGCAGAACGATTCAGCAAATCCCTTTTTTGCAGTTCAAAGAAGAAGTTGCGGAGCAGTCATTGGAAGAAAGTCAAGAATCGACTTGTCGCCAAAAGAGGACGCTTGAAATTGTCGACAAACCTGCTGGGAAGCGTATTCGAAAAAATTGTCATGGCTGCTACCAGCGTTTAAGTTTTAACTCAGGAAGAGATGAAGCCAGGAAATACGTCACAAGAGTTGATACCAAGTGTTCTGTTTGTGAAAAATTTGTTTGTTTGCGTTGTTTCAACGACGAACGCTGCGGTTGTTGGTTGCTTGGATAAAATCGTTTTGTTGGAAGTTTTTCTCTGTCGAAGGAAATCGGATATACATTGGTCTCTAATCATTTCATTGGTGTCGAAAATATTCAAAGAACTACGATGTTAGCAAATGGCAAGCAATTATTACGTGGCAGGCCATATGGGCTGCCATCCTCTCAGCAGCAGGTGCCCTGGCAGCCCCGGACTGCCACCGGCGTGCATGTGTCAAAACTAGTTGCTGAGAGATCTAACTTTACTGTATTTCATTCTTCCTTTCAGCTTTGTGGAAAGCGGATAACAATGCGTCGCTGTAACCTTCGCCATCATGCCGCTGTTGTACATTCTGGAATTGAAAGGTGGGTTTGGCCTGTTTCCTGTTAAACTTTCAAGAAATCGCGGTACAGTCATACATAGCACAGCTGCTCAGTATGATACCCTTACTGCATACGTCGGTAATAACTTCGTATAGCCGTTCATCCCCACCTGGTGCGTGGCGAGGTTCTCACAATTGGAGTTCTCGTAATCATTCCTGCTATTAAAATTGAGAATCCGAGATTGTCTCGTACAAGCATTTATCTCCGAGTGGAACAAACTGCGACCCGATAGGTCCATTAAGCAGATAAGAGAATTACTGCTACTCTCCTGCATTTCAGGATGAAAGCAAGAGAGCCCTAACGCACAACGGAGATATTTATCGACACACGGCAGACCCCATAGAAAACTCGCGAGAGAGCCCCTACGAAGGGGCGTAGGTACACGGCGTTGCATGGAAAATAGTGGAAGGGCCTATCATAGCCAGTAATCAGAACCGGTGGCACGGCCCTAGCGCCCTTGTCGGGATACCTCCAGACGCGCGATCTACAGGGGGGGGCAATAAAAAAAGGACATTTTGTCTCCAGACTCAAATGGATTTAATCACACTTTGCTCAGCTCAAAGCGTGTGCTCCCAACTTAGAATTGAAGAGCGCATTTCATTTTTAAGAAAATCTTCATAGTGGCCATCTACGTGGACGGCATCAGAAAAGTTTGCCCCGGAAACATGGTGCTCTGGTCGAGCTCAATGGGGTTCTCGACTGATCGTGTACCGTTACGACGGGTTCCGAAGGGGGTTCCGAGGGGTTTGCATAGTTAGAGCTAATGTCCCTAGGAAACTATCCCACGTTGAATCGATCCAAGAAATTATGTAAGAGCTTCAGGCTGAAGCAGTTACTGTAGGCCTCCCTGAGCTCGACGACGGTGACAGATGACGTCATATTCTGAAGACGGTGAGGGTAGTGAAGGAGGGCCTGCGTGTACTTATAGGGACATTTAGGGAATATTTTGCTGAGGAACTTCCGTCAACGACGGCAAATCTCTGCGAAAAAAGGGCCGAAGTGCGACCTGGGCAAAATGTCTTTTGCCTCCCCCACCTGTATACGTGCCTCTCATGAACAGCTCTACCTTACCCAACAAGGTGTTTGCACTGCAGCGTTTGCAGCGTGTGCCTTTGAGCTAGGTGCCTCGGGACCGCACGCTCTACTGCCACTTGTTACAGACAGTGGGGGTGGGTTCAGTCACCGGAAGAGAATGTGATATTTTTTCACTGATTAGGAACCTAAAAAGAACTAACCACTTTAGATCTATGGAATAGAGGATGACAAACTTTCTGAAGCTAGATATACTTTCTCTATTCGTGTGGTGTTTTACGTTCACTTGACCCGTCGATTCAAAAGTGAGAAACTTCTAGATACGTTTGCCGATGCGGTTATTCGACTGTGCATCGCAACACCATTATTCGTCATATGCTAAAGCATGCTAGCGTCGAAAGTGAGAAGGACTACGAGTTCACGGATATGCTGTAAGTAAATTGTTTTTGATATTGTCGGTATCTAGTCGAATTGAGTACTGTTTTTTCGTCTACACTGCTAGGACCTGAATCTTGACGTTGGTGTCAAATCAAAGTAGAGCGCTGGTGAATTCACTGTAAACTATGCTTGTTGATCTTGGAGGTTAGTAGAGCAAAGCCTTGCAGAAGTAACTCACGTAGCGTCGCATCCTTGCTTCGACTGGCTAGGGGAGCTCAGACCGGCTAGTTCGCTGGCAGTCCAACTAGCTTCTTGGGTACGCGTGAAGCCAAACATGCTCGTTCTCCGTTCATGTGGCAAGTGTATCCGCGGGTAATTTTCCACTACAATTGAATTGACTGCATAATATCCTTTCAGGACCCCTGCGGAAGCGGAGCAAATCGAGAAACTCGCGGAGGAGTGCTTCCGAGAATATCGAATCGTACCGCGAAGTACTGAAGAAGCAGATGATTTGGTGCGATCAATCGAGAATATTGCCAGCGGCGTCGACACCCATGCAGGGGAACTGGACGGCCCTGTTCAGGAGCTAGATGATCACGGTCAGGAATTGAGTGCTCACGGATCAAGGCAAAACGACGTCACCACTCTTCGGTTGTTTTTCTGGTGTGGCCCTTCCGATCGAATGCGTTGCGCACTATAAACCGCGTCCGCGGAAATCGTGGGGATAAAGCGATTCACATGAACTGGCTAAAACCTGCTGTACCTCAAACCTTTGTTTCGTTACCCATAAATATAAGGCATCGATGTGATGATAGAGCCAGAAAGCCTTTGATGCCAACGCGTCAAGTTGTACAGTCGGTACACCGCGAACGGTAAACAGCGCGTGGCCGCGACGATCATTCGATAGCAGTGACCGTTCCGGTTCCAAAATTTTCTGTCCTGTCTAAATCCCTGTTCTTTTTATTCATTACATCTTAAAAAGCAGAAGTACTTGTTGAATTTATTGTGGGCTCGTTACGGAAGCCTACCAGTTTTTTGTGAAGGCTTCGGTAACCTGTATTGATTACTCATCAAATAATGGTTTAGGCTTTGTTTCCGAGGTAGTTTTGCATTGGTTCTATCCGAATAAGCTTTTTCTAACAAGAGCTGTTGATTGTTTTTTTTACAGTGTCTTGTATCCTTGTATGTTTTTCTGTACCATAAATAAATTACTTTGTTTTGATGACTACATTCTTCACTGCAATAGTTTGGGTTTTTGGCCGTGCTTTTCTGGTACGTATATGTGGAAGTCGTGGGGTATTTGGTTACCTGACAGGAGGCCCGTCGCGCGGCAAGAAGGCAGAGTCGGCGGACGAGTCGCAGCGCGCGTGATGATGTAGGACGTACATGGACATTCTATTTAACTTGACGCGAAATCACTACAGTACGCGCTGCGACTCGTCCGCTGACTCTGCCTTCTTGCCGCGCGACGGCCTCCTGTCGGGTACCCGAAGTCGTGTTGGAAGCAGTGGTTCATAATTTGATGCCGATCATAAGTATGAAGGTGCAGGTGCAAATTGGTGCGCCAGGTAAAAGAAGCGATTACGATAAGAGGGAGCACATCGGAGAAGCATATGCGCACACGAAGCAGTTACTTGGCTGCCAAGGAAGCGAGGTGTGGCGCTTTCACGACGAAAGGTGCGCTGGTTGCTGAGCAGGACTTCGAAAGCACTCCGCCTCAAAAGCGATCCGCCCATTATGTAGTTTAGTTGGTGATTTGCTAGCAGCAACACACCTGGTTGAAATCATCGAATCTGGTGTAACTCGAGTGGAGCATGGGTTAATATTATGCCATCAAGCGCGTTGCGGTAGACTCGTTCATACGTCCGCCGTCTTAGCCGTTGCCCATCTTTCTGAACGACCAAAAAGTGGCCCATTTTTGCGTTATCTTGACGGATTTCTCTGCTTTTTTTTTTATCCCCCCCTACGCGCACCACCAGCACCTCTCCCCCCCCGTCCCCTGAAACCCTAATTATAACCTACCGTGATCGCTGGCCTCAAGGCGAGCGTCAAAACCCGTAAACGGGCCGTGCTCGGCCCCGTTGTTTTGATCGTTTCGTTCGATAAATCGGCGAGCCAGAGAAGTGCGAATATACAACGAGGGTACGAGCTCGAAAATAGAACACGCACAAGCTAGGTGCAATATATAGATCCAAACATGTACCTTGTCTCGGACATGTGGGTGCAACCATCTTTTAATGCTTTTTTTGCCTGTCTTTCAACAGTCCCATACGAAACTAACCACATCTGAGTTATATTCGCCCACTCATCTTCCTCTGCAAAGGTTTATCAACTTGTAAGCGTTGGCCGTGGAAGCACCATTTGACTGAGCAAGCGACGAGTGCGAGGTTATGAAGTTTTCGATATCGCTTTTCTGTTCGCCGGCCTTCGCTTTCAAAATGTTTGTTTATGAAGCTGTAAACAGCGGATGCGGAAGTTATGATGTTCGACGAGTACAGTAAACTGAAAGAATCCCTGAGCAAGCTGGACTACTCTTTTCCTAGAAGCAATCTAGCTTTTCGCCGTAGGACGTTGCCCACAAGGAAGTATAGAACCTTGTACTGTCTCTGGCAGCCACGCTGGCGAAGCTGGTCAATTTTTTGCTATGAGGAAGGAAGGCCACTATTATCGGGTATCAGTTCTTGCAGCAGTCTACGCCACGCATCTGGTTCTTCACTGTCTCCGACTGCTTATCCTCTTGTCGGTTTTCTTGATCAACCACTAGTAATGCCTTTGTGTTGCTCATCTTCGTTCCGTGCCGGGTTCAACGACTGTCTTAATTTGGGACGTTTAATGGGGCTAACAGTATTCACACAATCCTTGTCATACTGGCGATTGGCTGAGTATCGAGCGTCAATTGTCGTTCCGCTCATATTTCATGTGTCGTGTTAAAGCACATCCCTTTCTTGCGAGTTCTGCCAGCCTTCGTTTTGCGCTGGTATGAGAATGCGGATTGTTAATTTAATTTTTTTATTCCATACCATACTCCATTCTGTAATATAAAAATAAATCTTCTGGAACCCCCTCAAAATGATACCAAAACAACAAATAATAGCTTCCCGCAGCGTGTCTTTGTTGGCTTACAAGCTTTTGAAAAAAAATATCAAAACCTATCGCACAGCCGATAAAAAACTAAAGGTAAAATCAGTGTCGCAAACATGAACATCACATTTTGGAGAGGAATTTTGCGTCCTGACACTAAATCGACTAATTCTCGTTCTTCTTCACGCATTGTTTCCATCTCACAGATATTCACCTACATGAAACAGTCGCAAATATCCAAGAAGAACTTAATTTATATCAAAAAGCACATGCCACCACTAGACATGTCTTCAAAGTAGACGACTGCTATACGAAGTTATACGAAGCAACGAAAAAAAAACAGCCCAAAATCAAGAAAAAATCAGAGAAATACTAAAGCGTAAATAAAAAGAAATGAAATCTCACTTTCTCTCATCAGCAAACGGAATACTCGGAGATAACACTACACAAAAATCAAACAATCTCTTCTCCCTAACAACGCAACAATAATAAATGTATATTACTTATAGCAGCACCAAAGTTCAGCGGAAAATGGCAACACTTAGTAATCCGGAAAGATTCGCGACCAGTCAACGTCCGGAAAACATCTCGCCATAAACTCCTCTCTTGAGATGTGCGGCATTTTGCGTCTGGAAAATGCATCCTTTCGGTACGCCCCCTTACACTTCAGACATCCGAACACACAAATTCGTGATTTTTATGTAATTCTGCCATGAGTCGTTTCAAAAATGAGCTTTCTAGAAGCCGAAAGCAGCGTTTAGCTTAGGTTGTCGAGCTTGCTCTTACTGTAACGTTTCGGAAAGCTCTGTTTTGAGATGCGCCATGCACTTAAGTTTTATCGGGGTGTGTTGCAAATCACAGGAGTCAAAATGCTACAAAAAATAATACGAGGTTGTAGGAAAAGTCCTTGCGGTTTCCAAAAGTTCTGGTTTTTTACCTGCTTAATGCCTTCCAGCAACTTGGCTTGTGCATATATAAGGAGAACATATATGTGCAAGTTCAGTATAATTATTAGCTATTACCTGTAGCTTATCACGTTTCTGCAATATGCAACTTTCACAACAGTACTTTCATGACCTTTTACTATACGGGTTGATATTTGGCGAATCAGCAGCCTAATCCAGACGTCGCATTGATGCTGCATATAGAGAGAGCGTAACGTACATATCCGAATGCACTGGTGGTATGGTGTAAACGCTTCCACGAGGGAGACTCCAATGTTGAACGTTCCGCTTTCCGATAATTTTCGACTCAAAGATGACAACGATCGTTCGCCCCACCGAGGTGGAGAGATAACCATGACAAACTATGTCTGAACTAGCAGAGTTTTGGGGTTCTTTTCCCGCCATCGCCGGCCGCCTGCATCATTTAGGAATAATGCACAAGAAGCCTTTCAAAAGTGAATGAAACGATAAATGTCAAAAACCGCAGAGACTCTCCCTACAACCGTAACAAAATTAAATAAAGAACCATTTTATCTGGAAACACCTTTTCCTTCGTGATTCGCTAATCTTCACACCATTGCTGATACGTACGGCGCCAGCGGACCCTGCGACTGCGCAGGACTAACTCTAGGAGAAGAGCCGGAATGTACGGCGCATCTC